TCAGCTGCTGCTGCAGCAAGACGCTCTAGAAAGCTTTTGCAGTATGTCTTGCTGCTGCTGCACCATCATCAGCAGCCGGTGCTGCTGCTGCTGCTGAAGCAACAGATGCACATGGCTGCTGCTGCTGCTGCTTCTTATATAGCGCTCAGTTGCTGTTGCTTCTGCTGCTGCTGCTGCTGCTGCTGCTGCTGCTGTTTGTAGGTGAAGGAAACAGCTTTTACTTTGACAGCGAAGTTCTGCAGAGAGAGCAATCGGACACATGGGCAGCGTCAGCTGCTGCTGCTCTTCGGGTTAGCTGCTGCTGCTGCTGCTGCTGCTGCTGCTGCTGCTTTTTCTGCTGCTCCGCTTCAGCGGCTAGCGAGGCCATGCAACTGTGTCTTAATGCTGCTGTTGCTGCTGCTGCAGGAGCTGCTGCAGGAAGCCCTTAGCCTCCGTGTGTGCCCGGCAAAGCGGCGAGCTGCTTCAGCAGCAGCAGCAGCAGCAGCAGCAGCAGGCGCGAGCAAGATGGGTCCAAAGCCAGCCAGCAAGCAGCAGCAGCTGCAGCAGCAGGAGCAGCAGCAGCAGCAGGCGGGGTCTACTTTGTTGCGTCAATCTGCTGCCGATTTCATCGCTGCTGCTGAATCCCCAGTTGCTGCTTCGGGGGCCTCAGCAGCAGCAGCAGCAGCAGCAGCAGCAGCAGCAGCAGCAGTGGCAGTGAAGACGCCCAAGGGTTTGCTGCTGCTTGAGGGGCCCCTTGTAGCAGCACTTGAGGCCCTGGTGCTGCAGGCGACTGGCCTAGACCCTCGCAAGGAAGCAGCTGGCAGAACTTTGCTGCTGCAGCTGCTGCAGCAGCACGCAGACAACTGCCATCTTCTGCAGCAGCAGCAGCAGCAGGCCGAGCAGCAGCAGCAGCAGCAGCAGGCCCAGCAGCAGCAGCAGCAGCAGCAGCAGCAAGCCCAGCAGCAGCAGCAGCAGCAAGCCCAGCAAAAGCAGCAGCAGCAGGCCCAGCAGCAGGCCCAGCAGCAGCAGCAGCAGCAGCAGCAGGCCCAGCAGCAGCAAGAGAAAGCGGAGCAGCAGAAGCAGCTTGCCGCAGTAGTACAGACAGACCACATGAACAAGTCCCAGCAGCAGCAAGAGCAGCAGCAGCAGCAGCAGCAGTAACAGCAGCAGCAGTAACAGCAGCAGCAGCAGCAGCAGCAGTAACAGCAGCAGCAGCAGCAGCAGCCGTTGATGCACGTGACAGCACCTATTGGTGTCCGTCCTGTGCTTCTCGTCGCGTCCTCAACGCTGCTGCTGTTTATGCTGTTGCTGCTGCTGCTTTTGCTGCTGCTGCTGTTTGTGCTGCTGCTGCTGCTGTTGCTGCTGCTGTTGCTGCTGCTGCTGCTGCTGCTCCATGAAATAGGCAATGCAGTGGGCAGCAGCAGCACTGCGGCAGCAAACGCAGTTTTCGCAGCTTGAAGGTAGCGCAGCAGCAGCAGCAGCAGCAGTAGAAGTAGCAGGAGCAACCTACTGCAGCCAGCAGCAGCAGCAGCAGCAACTGCTGCTGCTGCTGCTGCTGCTGCTGCTGCTGCTGCCCAATAAGAGCTTGTGAGAGACGATGCTCTGGACTTTCTTATTTCCGTTTTTTCAATATTTGCTTCGCAGGGACTAGGCTTTAGGGTTTAGGGTTTAGGGTTTAGGGTTTGCAGCTCAGAGGCTGACTAGGGTTTAGGGTTTAGGGTTTGTAGTTCAGAGGCTGACTAGGGTTTAGGGTTTAGGGTTTGTAGGTCAGAGGCTGACTAGGGTTTAGGGTTTAGGGTTTGCAGTTCAGAGGCTGACTAGGGTTTAGGGTTTAGGGTTTGTAGTTCAGAGGCTGAGTAGGGTTTAGGGTTTAGGGTTTAGGGTTTGTAGTTCAAGAGCTGACTAGCGTCTAGGGTTTAGGGTTTGTAGTTTTAAGGGCTGACCAGGGTTTAGGGCCTAGGGTTTAGGGTTTGTATTTCAAGAGCTGACAAGGGTTTAGGGTCTAGGGTTTAGCGTTTGTATTTTAAGGGCGAGGGTTCGGGCTTCAGAGTTTGCAGGCTAGGGTTTAGGGTTTAGGGTTTAGGGTTTGAAGTGCTCTAGAAGTGTCTAGGGTTTACAGGTTCTCTCAAACCCCAGCGGCAGTCCCAAACCTAAACCCTAAACCCTAAACCCTAAACCCTAAACCCTAGGGAGTGGAGAAATAGATCCGCAGCAATCTGTTAAGAAACGCGACGAGGCCTAACTGCAGCAGCAGCAGCAGCAAAAGAGCAGCAGCAGCAGCTGATAAGCAGCAGCAGCAGCAGCACAGCATCAGCCGCGCTCTCCTGCATTTGCTGCTGCTCTTCAGCTGCCTTCTTCTCCTGCTGCTCTGCTGCTGCTGCTGCTGCTGCTGCTGCTGCTGCATCTCTGCATTCTCGTCTGTTACAGACTGGAAGCAGCCCTAAACCCTAAACCCTAAACCCTAAACCCTAAACCCTGGCCCCTAAATTCTAAACCCCAGGATTCTGGTGGAAGCGCGCTCTGCTTCTGTTTGTTTTTCCTCAAGGGTTTAGGGTTTGTCTTGGGTTTAGGGTTTGTCTAGGGTTTAGGGTTTGTCTAGGGTTTAGGGTTTAGCTTTCTTTATTAATTTGTTTGTATTTTCTTATCCCCATATTTGCCTCCCTTTGCATTTTTTTGCTACAAAGGCGGCAGCCAGCAGCAGCAGCAGCAGCAGCAGCAGCAGCAGCAGCAGCAGCAGCAGCAGCGAAAAGAGACAGCAAGACCCCCCGCGGTACAGGAGGGCCCCCCTGGGGCCCCCAGGGGGCCCCTAAGGGCACTTTAGGTCTCTTCTGGGGGCCTCAAGGGCCCCTGGGGGCCCCCAGGGGCCCTCTAGGGCCCCCCCGGGGGCCCCCTGGGGGCCCCCCAGGGGCCTTTTGGGGGCATTAGGGGCCCCCTAGGAGCTCTGGAGGCCCCAAGGGGCCCTGGGGGCCCCCTAGGGGCCTCAGGGGGCCCTAGGGGCCCCCTAAGGGTCTAGGGGCCCCGCAGGGGCCCCCTAGGGGCCCCCTAGGACCACACCCAGGGGCTTTAGGGGGCCCCTAAGGGTCTAGGGGGCCCCCAGGGCACTGAGGGGCCCCTAGGGGCTCTGGGGGCCCCCTAGGGGCCCCCAAGGCCTTGGGGGGCCCCCAGGGCACTGAGGGGGCCCCTAGGGGCTCTGGGGGCCCCCTAGGGGCCCCCAAGGCCTTGGGGGGCCCCCAGGGGTATTAGGGGCCCCGTGGGGCAACAGAGAAGCCCTGGGGGCCCCAGTTAGTTTGCTGCATTGGGGATTTTTCTGGCAGTTTGAGGCTAAACCCTAAACCCTAAACCCTAAACCCTAAACCCTAGGGCTTGAACCCTCGACACTGAATCGTAAACCCTAAACCCTTGCTGAAGAAATGCAGAGGACAAAGACTGGAGGACAATGAAAGAGTGCTGCGCCGGGAGTGTGAGAGTGTGAAGGGTTTAGGGTTTAGGGTTTAGGGTTTAGGGTTTAGGGTTTCGCTCTCGAGGCTAGACATCTGCTAACCTTAATAGTTGCTTATTCAAGTACACTAAAGTAGGGTTTAGGGTTTTATGGAGTGGATGTGAGGTTTGGGGGGTTGTGGGGCCCCACGATTAGGGTTTAGGGTTTAGGGTTTAGGGGTTAGGGTTTAGGGTTTTGGGATTACACGGAAAACAATGTCTGGGCTTTATGTGATGAGCTAAATATTAAGAATTTCGAATTAAGTGCTAGGGGTTTAGGGTTTAGGGTTTAGGGTTTAGGGTTTAGGGTTTAGGGTTTGGGGTTTCGGCGTCCCAGGCCTTGTGTAGGCGGTGGTCTGCTGCGAGCGGCCACTGGGGCCGAGCTGAGGATAAAGGGTTTAGGGTTTAGGGTTTAGGGTTTAGGGTTTAGAGGCTTTGAAACTTCCTTTTGATTATTTTTTGCATTTTGCAAAAACCCGAACTCGGGCAAAGCTCCGCAGACACTGCACCCTGGACCACCACCGTTGCCGACACAGCAGCAGCAGCAGCAGCAGCAGCAGAGCAGCAGCAGCAGCAGCAGCAGCAGCAGCAAAGCAGCAGCAGCAAAGCAGCAGCAGCAGCAGCAATTGAGAATGCTGCAAAGATGAGCGCCCTCCATGTGCACAGACACCCAAAGGCTGCCGCTCAAGGCCCCAGCCGAAGTGGCTTGCTGCTCTGACCCTGCAGCAGCAGCAGCAGCAGCAGCAGCAGCAGAAGCAGCAGCAGCAGCAGCAGCAAAGGCAGCAGGAGGCGCTGCTTCAGAAGCAGCAGCAGCAGCGCGCGACACACCGACCGGGTGGAGTCTGCGCAGCAGCAGGGGAGCAGCTTGCTGCGCTGCTGCTGCGGCAGCAGGGAACACAGCAGCAGCAGCAGCAGCAGCAGCAGCAGCAGCAGCTGTTGCTGCTGCTGCAGTCTTGTTCTCCGCAGGAGCCTTTGAGGGAGGCCCCCTTGGGCAGCAGTTTAATTAAAAAGCCGAGCAGCAGCAGCAGAGCCCTTCTCTAGGGTCTAGGGTTTAGGGTTTAGGGTTTAGGGTTTAGGGTTTAGGGCTCAAGAGTTCTTAATTGGCTTGTGGCACCTTCACCGCTTGGCCATGCTTGTCACTAAGCTGCCTTCAAAGCGCAGCGCAGCAACAGCAGCAGCAGCAGCACCAACATCAGCAGCAGCAGCAGCAGCAGCAGCAGCAGCAGCAGCAGCAGCAGCAGCAGCAGCAGCAGCAGCAGCAGCAGCAGCAGCAGCAGCAGCAGCAGCAGCAGCAGCAGCAGCAGCAGCAGCAGCAGCAGCAGCAGCAGCATGTCCTCGGACAATTATGTTCGCAGCTTCTCGGGGGCCCTTCTAAAGGGCAAAGGCCTTTCCATCTCCACCAGTCCCCACGGCTCCCTGGAGGGGCCCCTGGGGGCCCCCCAGGGGGCCCCCCAGGGGGCCCCCCAGGGGGCCCCCCAGGGGGCCCCCCAGGGGGCCCCCCAGGGGGCCCCCCAGGTACCCCCAAAGAGGCCCCCGGGGCCTCCACCCCCGAAAGCAGGGGAGGCCCTCGGGGCCCCCCGGGGGCCCCCGGGGGGAGCAGCAGCAGCAGCAGCAGCAGCAGCAGCAGTTTTAGGGCAAGAGGAAGCCCTTGTTGAGGCTGCGGAGGCCCCTACTAAGTCTGCTGCTGCTGCTGCTGCTGCTGCAGCAGCAGCAGAGGGGCCCAAGAGAACAGACACGATGGGCAGCAGCAGCGGCACCCGTGGGGGCCCCGAGAAGCAAGCAGCAGCAGCAGCAGCAGGTCCTGCTGCTGATAACGATTGGGACCGTGATGCAGCAGCAGCAGCAGCAGCAGCTGCAGCAGGTGCAGCAGCAGCAGCAGCAGCAACAGCGGACACCTCGATTCCCCAGGTCCGCCTCCTGCCCTTGGCGGAGGGTTCCTGGGAACCCGAGCAGCAGCAGCAGCAGCAGCAGCAGCAGCAGCTGCTGCTGCAGCAGCAGCAGCAGCAGGGAAGCCAGCAAAGCTCCCCCTGGCTGAAGTGGAACAGCAGCAGCTCAATTTCAGTGAGTTGAATTGGGGTGTATGTGCAGCTCGTGCTGCAGCAGGTGTCTGTACACCCCGCGGCCGTGAAAACTGAAAGTGCACTTTTTGGAATTCTTTTTTCGCCAAACTGCGCATTCTTTGCATGCAAAAGCTGAATTAAATCATTTATTTCAAAAATAAACTTTTATTTCCTCAATTGCATTTAAATTTGCTTTTGTTTCTTCCGAAATTCGCATTTCCACTCGCAGCTGCGCGTTCAGGTGTACGTACACCTGGGCGCCGCCGCGAACTGCAAAAACGCCATTTTGGGGTTTTGGGGAGTTTTTAAGTCCGGAAAAAAGCATTTAATTTGTTTCGAGATTCTAAATCTCTTTTGCTGCTGCTGCTGCTGCTGCTGCTGCTGCTGCTGCTGCTGCAGCTGCTAATTGGCAGCATTCGCCGCCTGGAGCTGGCCCCACACCCTGGGATCGGGAGGAGTTCCCGGGGAGGAGAAGCGGGGGCCCCCGGGTGTACAGACACCTCAACGGCCCTTTGCTGCATCTTGTGGGGCCCCCTCGAAGACCCTCTCGAAGTCTTTTCCATTTTCCAGGGGGCCTTTTGGCTGCCGGGATGGGGCAGGAGGGTCACCTCCGCAGGTCTGCTGCTGCTGCTGCTGCTGCTGCTGCTGCTGCTGCTGCTGCTGCTGCTGCTGGGGTTGCTGCTGCAGCCGATATGGGCCGCAGTGAGCCGCTACCGGCGTTCGCTGCAGCAATACAGGCCCTTGAGTTTGCCTTCTCTTTTGTCTCCTTGCTGCGTCCTTCCCAAGGGCACTATAGAAGTAGCAGCAGCAGCAGCAGCAACAGCAGCAGCAGCAGCAGCAGCAGCAGCAGCAGGACAGTCCCAGGTCTCCTGGCCCCTGCTGCTGGGCCCTCGCTGGGCACGGCCCGAACCCGACCCGCAGCAGAGGGGGCCCCCAGGGGCCCCTGGGGGCCCCCCTGAGGAGGCCCCTTGGGGGGCCCCCGGGGGGCCCCCCGGGGGGCCCCCCGGGGGGGCCCCCGGGGGGGCCCCCCGAGGGTTTGATGCAGCAGGATATGCGTGGGTGGAAGTTGTGAGGGTTTTTGGACTTCCGCTGCGAGGGCTTAGCAAGGGTTTGCTGCGGGGCGGGGGTTTGTCAGTGGTTGCTTTGTGGCAGGGGGAGAGCAGCAGCAGCAGCAGCAGCTCGTCGAGCAGCAGCAGCAGCAGCAAGCGGGCGCTGCAGCTGCTGCTGCAGCGCAGCAGCAGGAGAGCAGAAGCTGCATGCAAGTGCGAAGTCCAGCCCCAAGACTTCGAGGACTTCGCGCATGCAGTTCGCGTGGAAGAAGAGCTTTACGGCCAGGTCTACGTCAACGGCAGGGTAAACCCTAAACCCTAAACCCTAAACCCTAAACCCTAAACCCTCCGCCTTAAACCCTAAACCCTCGAGGAGCAAAGCCCTCGACCTGGGGCCCGCGCAGAGGACCGGAAGCGCCTGCTCGGCGCGCCGACAGGGCCCTGTTGCGGGGCCCCGGGTTCAGGGTTCAGGGTTTAGGGTTTAGGGTTTAGGGTTTAGGGTTTGGGCTTTGCCTCAGATTTTACTCCCCTGCATTCCAGGACTAGACCCTTTTCTTTGCCTCTTCGTCTGCATCGACGGCCAGCCCTATGCGCAGCTGCAGCAGCCCCTCGATTTGCTGCAGCTGCAAACTGCTGCACTTAAAGTCAGGGGCCCCCGGGGCCTACCACCAGACCCTGCCGCTTGTCTCTTTGAAGCCGCTGAAAAGTAGCCCGCAAACCCTAAACCCTAAACCCTAAACCCTAAGCCCTGCGCAGCAGCACCGAACCCTAGACGCTAAACCCTAGCTCAAGAACTCTAAACCCTAAACCCTAAACACTAAATTGATGGGCGTGAAACGCACAGATTCAGCCCATGGGATCTGCAGCAGTAGCCTAAAGACCACGGTGTAGGGTTTAGGGTTTAGGGTTTAGGGTTTAGGGTTTAGGGTTTAGGGTTTAGGGTTTAGGGTTTGGGGTTTAGGGTTTAGGTGTGGGGCGGCTTTTTCTTCCTTCCTTCCCAGCTCCTCTGCCCCGCCTCTCGATCTCGAGTTCCTTCTGCTGCCGCCTTTGCTGCTGCTGCTGCTGCTGCTGCTGCTGCTGCAGCTGCTGCTGCTCTGCTTCTCTGCATGCGCTGCAGCCAACTCCTACGGGGCCCCCGTTTTGGGTCCTTTCGGAGAGTCTTCTTTTATAGTTTCGGACATTTTGCAGGAGTCCCCAGAGGCCCCCGAAGAAGACCCTGGGCAAGAGGGGCCCCCCTGGGGGCCCCCCGGGGGCCCCCCGGGGAGCCTCCCGAGGGGCCCCCCCGGGGGCCCCCCGGGGAGCCCCCCCTTCAAGGGGCCCCTGGGGCCCCCGGGGGGCCCCCGTTCCAGGGGCCCCCTGGGGGCCCTTGGGGGCCCCCCTTCCCGGGCGAGTGAGAAGAGACACCCATTCTTTTCGCCTGCGTACCCTGAGCCCCCTGGGGGCCCCCCCCCGAAGAAGTCGTTTATGGAGATTCTGGCGGAGGTGGAGGCGGAGGAGCAGGCGCGCGCCGCCGCCGCTGCCGCAGCAGCAGCAGCAGCAGCAGCAGCAGCAGCAGCAGCAGCAGAGGCGCAGCAGCGGCTCTCCCCCAGGGGCCCCGGGCCCGTCCAGCCCGAACTCTGCGTCGCCGAGGGCCCCGGGCTCACTTCGGGGGTTGCGGGGGCCCCCTGCAGATTTACAGTGAAGCCCAAAAACAGCAAAAGAGAAACTGTTGCTGCAGCAGAAGGCACTTTGAGACTTTCTCTCCAGCCCCTGGGCTTCGTGGGGGTCAAAGTCGAGGCCGATACTTGGGGGGGCCCCCCGGGGGGCCCCCCAGGGGGGGGCCCCCCGGGG